GCCGATGCTGGTGAAGCAGTGGCCGACGCAGATTGGATCTGCGCCTCCTTCGTGGTCATGGCGATGAAGTTGTCGGAGCCAGTGGTCCAGGTGATCTGGCCGATGGTGAACGTGAGGCCGTTCGGCATAGCCATGGAGCCAGGGATGATGACCATCTTGTTCGTCTAGGGAGCAGTACGCACACCCCCTACCTGGCGCGCCACTGTCGATGAAATATGGTCGGCAGTCTACCTAGGGGTATGCCCAAGATAGTAGATTATCGGTAGACAGGTGCGCAAGCTACGAACGAGATGATGACGCAAGACAGACACGAGGTTTTATCCAGGTTCGGCCGCCGTGAGGGCGTAATACCTACGTCATGCGTCTGATTGTATTGATGTATGTCAATGAGATTATTTTTTAGAGGGGTCCCTTGCCCGCCTTATATAGTCTGGGAGGCAGGGTTACAGATCTGAAAACTAATACTAATCGATTACAATTGCCATAGGTGGCCAAATAAGGATTCTTATTCTAACCGACCAGGATCTTGCTTGATCTCCAAGTCTGCCTTGATTCCTTGCGCGGAACTCCGAGCAGATCGGCTGGGCCGCGCGTCGTCTTCTGGTGGACCGAACCCCCTGGACCGGGCCGGCCCAAACCTAGCCGCAAGGGTATAGGGGTTAATACCCCCATAGTGGCAAGCTGAACCATGGGATAAATCCTTGTGTCATCTTGTGCTTATGTTGCTACACTTGTGTTCTTGTTGTTGTTGAGGTGATTTCTAGAGTTTGATGGCAACCTACTTGTGTGTGGTGTTCCCACCAATTTCAGTTGTCGATCTATAATCTACTACCCTACAGGAAGCTAAAAAATTTACCCGATCTAAATTTTGTTGTGTAGATTTTGAACTATGAACTAATCTCTCCTACAGGTGCGGCAGTGCCGCTGTTTGGAGCGGCAGTGCCGTGGGTGAATTTGACTTTGGTTTGAGTTAAATTTTTATAGGCCTATTCACCCCCCTTAGGTGTACCAGAGATCCTACAAGTGTCGGTGAGATTGGTAGGGTCAATAATCATAAACTCATTCTCTACCACATCTCACACCTTGTCATTGATTGATCTAAGGTACATCTTCATCTTTCTCTTCCAATAATCAAAAGACGTCCCATCAAAGAATGGTAGTTTGCCCCCAACATGGTTGAACATAATTTGAGCCATAATTTGCACTGAAGGTTGTTAAGCCTTGAAGCAAACGGTGACTACGGCTCCAATACCACTTGAAAGGTCCTAATATGGATAGATGGGGGTGAATAGCCTTTTTAAAAATCTACAAGATCACTAGAGCAATTTGATTAGTATGACAAATAGCGAAATGCAAACTTACTCTTGCTCTACAAGGGTTGCAAGCCACCTATCCAATAATTCTAGTTACTATAATCACTAGACACACAAATGGCTAAGTCACTACTCACTAAGAGCTCTCACACTTGCTACACTAAAGAGCTCCACTAGATGATCTTAAGCTACAAAGTAAGCTCTCAATTCTAGCTACACTAAAGAGCTTGCTACAACTAATTTGCGAGAATGTAAACGAGTGAGTAGGGTAATTATACCGCCATGTAGAGGAGTGAACCAATCACAAGATGAGCACCATCAATCACCGGGAGAATACCAAAGGGCAAGAGACAACCAATTTTTCTCCCGAGGTTCACGTGCTTGTCGGCACACTAGTCTCCGTTGTGTCGACCAACACTTGGTGGTTCGGTGGTTAAGAGGTGTTGCATGAACCTCGTCCACACAATTAGACACCGCAAGAACCTACCCACAAGTGAGGTAAGTTAATGACATGATCAATCCACTAGAGTTATCTTTTGGCTCTCTACCGAGGAAGGTACAAGACCTCTCACGTGCCAAAGCTCCTTCGCTACTCCAAGCCATCTAGGTGGCAGCAACCACCAAGAGTAACAAGAACTCCGCAGCCACAACGATCTCCAAGTGCCACTAGATGCCATCACTCAAGCAAATACACTAGGAATCACTCTTAATCTCACTATGATGATGAATCAATGATGGAGATGAGTGGGAGGTGTTTGCTTAGGCTCACAAGGATGTCAAGTATGTCAAAGTATCAAGAGAGTCATCCCCAAGCTAGCCAAACATTATTTATAGACGCCCCAAAGGAATAGAGTCGTTAGGCTCTCACTCCATCTTTTCATGGGACGACCGGACGCGCAGATGGGTGTGACCGGATGTAGACCCCCAGCGCCTGGTCCACCATCTCTGTCCACGTGTCACTGCCTTCAAACCTCAGTCGTCCAGCTTCAACGGTCAAGTTCTCGATCGCTCATGCATTAAGTGATGACCGGACGCGCTCCTCCAACGACCTAACGCCGCGCGAGGCCGAGTCCGGTCAGTTCTAGTAAGCTCCTAGAGCGTGATTTTTGTGACCGAATGCGTCCGGTCGTAAGCGACCTGACGCGCCCCAGTGTTCGGTCCTCATACTGCTTCTCTACGCGCGCCCATGAAGCTAACGTCAGCCTACATCAGCACGACCTGACTCGCGCCCTGCGCGTCCGGTCCCACCAACCGCCAGCATCAATAAGTGACCGAACGCAGAGGTGGCAGCGTCTGGTCGCTCCTTGGCCCTCTCGGCCAGCTGTGCCGCGCTGCTTATAAATGACCAGATGCGCCCCGGGTGAGTCCGATCACCCCGAGGCCAGCGTTCGGTCCTGGACCTTCTCCTCTTTTTCTTTTTTTAAGTCCACAACTGCTTCACCCTCGCTTTCAACTTGCTAACCACAAAGTGTAGAACTTGTGTGCACGTGTGTTAGCATTTTTCAAAATATTTTATAAGGGTCAAGGTTAGCACACTAAGTTTCTAAATACATATGCAAGAATCATATCACCTAGTGGCACTCGATAAATTATTTAGCCATAGATTTCCCCTCTCTATAGTACGGCTATCGATCATAAATACACTCACACCCTCTATGGTGTCTTGAGTGTCAAAACAAAAACCTATTTGATATATTTGCCTTGATCATCTCGGTTTTTATTTTTCTCTTTCTTCTTTTCCAAGTTAAGCTTGATCATCTTCAACACATGTCCATCTCCATCTCCATGGACTTCATCACCATGCTCCATCACTCGGTATGTGTCAATCTTACTCACATGACACTCATGACAAATGTTAGTACCTAGGTTTCGTTAATTAGCCAAAACCAAGCTAGGGCTACGGATCGGTAAGTGTGGCGAGTCATGGACTGAGAGGAGAGGGGAGAGGAGGGAGGATGATGTTTCATTTTTTGGAAAAAAAAAGAAAAGGACAAGCCATGAATCGAACTCTCGCTGATGGGCGGGGGCGTAGGGTGCTGGAAGCGGAGTGAGGCTTCAAACGCAGGAGGAGGCGTGAGAAGCCTGCCATCACACACACAACATCGGCCATCGGATTGGGTTTGAAGTATGTGAGCATTAGGGTTCATGTTGGTCAAACTTATTAAATTTAACTAAATTGATAGAAAAATAGCAATATTATATCTTCAAATAAGTTTGTTATAAAAATATATTCAGTGATGTATCTAATGATACTAATTATACATTATAATAAATATTAATATTTTTTATATATTCAATTAAAATTTAATTATTTGACTGCTCGATAAGTAAGAACGACAGTTTCATGTCAGGAAGGAAGGAAGAAAGAAAAAATACCGATGGTAACTATGGCCTTGTTTAGATACCCTCAAAATTCTAAGTTTTTTCACTCTCTCTCTATCACATCAATTTTTAACCGTTTGTATGGAGTATTAAATGTAGATAAAAAAATAATTAATTGCACAGTTTAGTTGGAAATCACGAGATGAATCTTTTAAGCTTAGGTGGTCCACGATTGGACAATATTTACCAAATAAGACGAAAGTGCTACTATTTATCTGGTTGAAATTTTTTGCAATCTAAACATGGCCTATAGGAGATACGTGACGTTGGTCACAGTCTCACAGAAGACCCAGACGCCAGAGCACAGCCAGACACAACACAAACCGCACCACGCATTACGCGCCCCCGGATTTTCGAGGAAGTCAGTCCGCTTCCGCTCGGCTCACTCACCCGCCAATCTTTACGTGCTCGAGAAGCCTTTCCCCATTCCATGCGCACGACCGCGACCCATCCATCCATCCATATCGTCGTCATCCCCGCCCGTCCCTCGACGCCCAGCCGTCCGATCCGCATCCCGGATCCATCCCAGCCGCCCGCCGGCTCTGCCACTGCCACCCTTCCCCCGGCTGGGAGATCCCCTTTCGCCTTTTTCGAAACCACCCTCCTCGGCTCCTCCTTCCGATGGCAACCACGGCCTCGCCCACGGCCCCGGCCTTTTCCTCCCCTCCTCTCTAGATCGCGACGAAGCGAACTCCCCCCTCCTGCTGCCCGGAGCGAAGCGGGCTGAGGGGCCTGTCGGCCTGATCGATCCCTCGGTTCTGGCGGTCGGGGCAATGCTGCATGCATCGAGCTGCTGCTGATCACGACTGGTGAGTCGTTTCGCTCCGATCCGCTTGATTGATGGCGTTTCGGGACGCTTTCCGCGGTTACTTCCCGTGCGCGCGGCTCAATTTGGGTTCTGTGCGGTCAGACGTGTCGGATTCTGCTTGGTTGGTGTGTTCTTGCGCCCCAATTTGTGCCGTGTGGCGTTGGCGGAGCTTTGTTGATGGTGGTTGCTCCAGGGCTTTGATGTGCTTGTGGATTAGTGAATATTTTTATGCTGGAACCTTTGTGCTTGCTGTGCGTTTCGTGTGAGGCGAAAAAGGTTCGGTTCAGGCGTTCAGCTTAACCATGTATTGGAATTTCTATTCTGACGGCTTTAGCAGAGCAATTTTGTAGTACTAGTTATTAATGGTCCCAATTTAGTATGATCGTTCCTATTTCGTTGGGATTGGGTATTTTTTTGGTGGGGATTTTGTTTCTGTCTCCATAACTCGGTCTCTATGTCTACTTTTATATAGTATGTGGTAAATACACGGGGAATCCATGGCCAATGTACGAGTTCTTAGTTCTTACACAGGTTTGGAGTCCGCTAATGGTTTATAATGTGAATTAAATGGTGGGAATTACTATTTTGGGTACATAGCTGTAATCAGTGAAACTTGGATAAGCTTAATTTTGCAAACGACTCTGCTTTGGGCTTGATCCTTCTGTTGTTCTCAGTTTTGCCTAAGGACAGGTTTCTTAGTTCTTACATAACACTGGCTCTCAGTTCATTTTATCTTCTAGGAGCAACTGGTTCTGTGGTTTGTTGCTGAGAAACTCACTAAAAATGTCTTGTGGTACCGTTTGCATGCATGATGCATGATTGACTAGTTCTGCCTAACCAATCTATTCGTATCAAGAGCATGAGATTTTGGTATAATGCAAGAATTCACTTTTTACTACAAAGTTCATTGTCTAACACAAGATTGAGATCGTGGAAACAAGGATTATGCAACAATCCTTGTTCCTTGGGTAATTACATGTTAATTTCGCTCTGCATTCTCTTTTATCAACTATTCAACATTACGTTCTTGATTTAGTGATTCATAAATGCATCTAATCAAACCTTCACTGATTTGGACCTAGTTATTAAAGTTTGATCATTAAACCAATGTACAATGACCGAACACCCGCACATAGCTATGTTTTGTTTCATCTTGCAATAATTTGTATGTAATCAACCACATCCTTTTGTTTGTCTCCTTTTTATTCAGAATGTCAATTTTTCGTTTGGTTACCCAGAATTAGTCATCACATGTGTTATAACATTGTGTATCTTTGTTTGTTCTGGGATTGATGGAATTGATTATAATCCTATGAATTTATAATTTTGAATTCACTTGCAGAATATAGGTTTTAATACTTGCGTGTTTTCATTGCTACGAGCTTTGGATGAAGTTTGCACTTATCTATGGAAGTGGACGACTCACATGACACTCTAGTTAATAAAAGTGAAGAGAATGACTTTGAAAAGAAAGGCACTTCTGATCCTGTGGTTTATCAACTAGTTCGGGTAAGTTCTTAGTTAATTACATGCTTTGCCGGCCACATGTTAATATAGAAAACATAGCAGGACATTTCTAGATGCTTACTCGCTTTGAGAAACACTTGCTTTAAATATGTTCAGGTTGAAGGTGATGGAACACTTGTTCCTGCTACAGAGGATGATGTTTTGAAGTTTGAACATTTCCTTCATAATGAGAAGGATGATCTTCCTCCTATTGAAGATGTAGGCCATGTGGAAGAGTTTTTCAACAATGATTGCATGTTACTGAAGAAGCCTGACTTGGAAGGTGATGCCAATAGTGTTATTCAGCTATGAATTACTATTTTGTTACATATTTTATTTTGGGTATCACTTCTATTTCTACAGAACAGGACTTTATGCTGTCTCATTAGAATACTGCCTGCTAGCCTAGAAATTCACAAGATTCCTTTATTAATTCAACTTCTTTGACTTCGTTTGATGTTTACTGTTTACTGAACTTGTGTAGATGGATCTTCCAAATTGGAGACTGTAGAAGTACACACACAAAAATTGGGTACCGACTTAGAGGTATATTGTTTGTCTCTTGTTCGGCATAACTATCTTATCTGCCATAATATGTCAATGCTACTAGATAGTGCTTTTTTGTAGAATTTTGAGTTGAGAGTTCTGTTTGCCTTGCTTCAATAAATTTTTCTATATATAATGTTAAATTTAATTGAAACTACTTTTGTACATATTCAAGTCAACTCAACTTTAAGATCAACATAATTGCACAGGAAAACAGATTACAGTCATTGGATGATTCCCTTAGTCCTCCCTCAGAGTGTAGAGTTATTCATAGTCAGCATTCAGATAAATTGCTTCCAGAACAAGGGGACAACGTCACTCGACAGGACAATGCTTCAACTGAGACTACAAAATCGACAGTGTTAAATGACTCTTGCGGTGCTGAAAAAGACAAGGCTGATGCCTGCTCAAGACCTGTTTGCGACACATCTACAGACCCATCTGTTTCTGGAGTTAATAGTTCCATGCCTGATTTTTCCATATTAAGAGGAGAAGTCTGTTTGGATGATCTTACTATTAGAGAACTTCAGGAGGCATTTATTGCCACATTTGGCCGGCAGACTACTGTCAAAGACAAGATATGGCTCAAAAGACGGATTACAATGGGCTTGACTAATTCCTATGATGTTCCAAGTTCAGGTTGTGTAGTTAAAGACTACAAAATTGTTGGCAGGGATACCAAAAAAGATATATCAGACATGGATGAAAGAGCTAAGACTGGGCTTAGAGCTACTTCTCTAGTTATATATCCAGGAAACGAAGGGGACTCACCATCTAGCTCTTACTATCAGAGCGAGGATCAGCAAGATTCTTCCAAGAGAGTTAAAAGAGTACAAATCCATAATGATGAACCACAAGGAAATCTGCTAGGCGAGCAATGCACTAACAAGCGAACTAGAAAGCCAACAAAAAGATACATAGAGGAGCTATCAGACATTGAGACTCATGACTCCACTGTAAAAATTTCTTCACCAGCAAAAAGGCCTGCACATGATGAAGTGTTAATGAAACTGCGGGTCACACCTTTCAATGAGGCTGATTCTCTGGGCACGATCTATCCTACTAGAAAGGATACCCTTGGAGGATTTAGTGTACATGTTCCTTACGTTTCAAGGATGAGAAGGGGGCGCCCTAGGAAGGACTTCATTTCATTTGCGGTAATAATCTACGTATGAATCATTTGTTTTAACAGTTTTGGCCAATTTGATGATCCTTTATTATTATCATGAAACAAGACAGATGTCGAATTATGTCCATTTCTTATCTCTTTTACTGAAGTGCCTTCAGCTAATACTGCACCATTAGCCAGCTTTATTTCTCAGAATGATAATCACTTGCACAAAGTTTTTTGGTTTAATTCGGCTCTGTAATTTTCAACATGCCCCATCAATAAGACATAAAAACATACCCTAACTTTCTTTTCAATATTCTAGCCCTAGTTCCAATATGGTATCTTTTGTTCTTTTCTTCATCCAAAACCTATCTCATTTTGATTACCCTTAAAACCCTGTATGCATTTTTTGATGTGGTTGTAGGCATTTGATATGCATGATTGGTATGAAAGGCTTGCTGTGCCATGCTCCAAACTAAAATGGATGTAGTAAATTGGGACATACATTATTGGACATTTTTGGTTGTCTTGTATTTCCTTTCTAAACTTGTTCTCGCTACCTTTTATAACAGGATAAGGAACCCTCAGTTGAACCTAAAGGGATTCAGACAGCAGTTGAGATGATATTAGCGAAGGATGGTGACAAGGGAAACCACCTTTGGAAAGCACCTGAAGTTCCACTAAAGGTACGCCGTATGCCTTTTTCATGTTTACAAATTGACGCAAGTAAATGCAAGCTTTAGAAGCTAAGCAAGTAAATGGAAATGTAGAAGCAGTTGCAGGTTTGCATGTTCCGTACATGTATTAACTTGTTTTCCCTTCTCAACCATGTTCCGTACATGTATTAACTCGGTTTTCCTTCTCAACCCACTGTCAGGTAAGTTCTGAGAAAGGGCATATAGAAGCAGTTGATAGTAAAGGGGTTCGAAACCTACAAGCAAAGGTCTACAGTGCTGTTGCCAAGCCTAAAATAAAGCGGGGTTTAACGCGGAAGCATCATCGAGCGTGGACATTGTGTGAGGTCGTGAAGCTGGTTGATGGTGTGGCTCGGTTTGGAGCTGGCAAGTGGTCTGAGATTAGAAAACTGTCCTTTGCCTCATATTCTTACCGCACTTCAGTGGATCTCAAGGTGTGTTTGCTTGTACAGCTGAAACTTACTGCGATTTCATTTTCCAATCAAACATTGAAACCTGCTGTTTATTCAGGACAAATGGCGTAACCTGATCAGAGCAACCAAGACACAGCTTCCGGCACAAAAAGACGTAATCACTTGTCCCTCTTCAAGGCACATGAGCACTGTTATTTATCTATTCCTATCGTTTATCCTGCATTTATTTGCTTCCTGATGTTTGATTGTTCCTTCAACTCTTCTTAGCAGGGTGCCTGTCCGCGGAAGATTAACCCTTGTATCATACCAATACCACCATCCATTTTGTTGCGAGTGAAGGAGCTAAACGAGCTGCAGTTGCAAGGGGGTGGCTTCACAGCCCCAGTCAAGTTCTCTGGGCAGGACAGCAAGGTTCTACAGGGAAAAGGGTCAGGTTTTTTGTGATCCTTGACATGCAGATATAGAGGAGGGTGAAGGAAAGCACTAGTTAGTTAGGTGTACGCTTCTGGACGATGTGGTATATATGGGTAAATATTATACAAAGTTGGTGTAGCCACGCTATCCATCGTATTGTTCTCTACACGCTCAATGCACGTTTTCTCCTGTGCTGGAACATGTGTAAATCAGCCGTCCAGAAAATATTGCTATATTATCTTTGTAAAGGGCAGACGTCTCTGTGGCACAAGGACCAGTTAAAGAACGTGTCATGAGGACCTAATTTAAGAGCACATGTAAATCTAGCTAATAAGAGGAAAATGAGAGTAAATGGAACGTTGTCGCGGCAATAATGAACCAAACTAAGTATTTGCGATGCATTACAATGGCAACTCCTAATTCCCTTGTAAATACAGGTCTCTGGTTTCATCTTGTGCTTTATAATAAATTGCTTTGGCAAAAGACAACGTTTCCTCTGGCGCATAAATGGTTGATTCATGCGCACTGTTGGAGCAATAGGAATGTCTGATTACATCAAACTAAACCAAAGTAATAGTAACCACAAAGTAGCTGAGTTAAACAGAACTTTCATAACTACAGTTACAAGCGTTCAGTTAATTATGAAAGAACACAGCTCCAAGCTGCAGGTATCTGGCAGACACACACAAAAATTATATTCGCCAAAGAAACCACCGGCGTGTGAGTGGGGAGAGTTAGATACTAATTATCCCTTCTAAGCGAGCAACACATTTACCAGCAGTTGATAGATGCAAGAATAAAGCTCTCATACTATAAACCTTGAAATGGAATCAAGCAGAAATTTACTCTCAGCCAAAGGATCCACCCTCTCCACCTTGGCCACAGTGTTCTTCACTCGTCGCTCGTCGCCGTATTGTTCTTCCTTCACTTTTAGCCTCAACAAATAATTCTGATACAAGCAATGGATCAAGACAGCTGTGTAGCGAGGATCTTCGTTCTCTTTAAACATGTTGAGCTCTCGTGCTGAGCAACCAAGTAGCTCCTGTCCAGCCTCTTGAAATGCTGTCGCAGAAGTTGTTCCCGTGTGATCTTGAATGTTCAACTGCAGGAGATACCTGTAATCACACTCTGGAAACTCTTGATTGCACTTGTCACATAACCAGTTGCCTGAATCAGACTTTGTCACCTTTTTACCACATTGCCTGTCTCCAACCACATTGGGGCAAGCTGTGTAGCAGAAGGGGTCGGTTTTGATGAATGTAACAGCAGCCTTCACCGTGACCCAATCGGGTTTGTCTCCCATTCCAAGACCATCATCCTTTATCTGTGCTATTGTCTTTCGGATCTCATTCCTTGATGCTGAAGGAGTAAAATCCCTGGATATGGACTGAGTAGAAGCATCTCTTCCTCCACAATCAAACCACTGCCTGAGAGAATGAGCCTCAGCAAGATCAGGGTTTATGAGGAGTTGAGATGAAGAAATTGTGCCAACAGACTTCCCACTGTAATCATTGACTTTTCCAGCTTTGACAGCCAGTACAGGAAACGCCCCGCATTCAACCATTTCTTGCAGCTGCAAGCCTTCTCTGTTGCAGAAGTCACCCCACATGGTAAGCTCAACACTTCGACCAGACATATCCTTCAGGGTGATGGTCCTTTTCTGAGCTTCCATACCATTTTTCCTCTGTATTGTAGTACTAGGGTTGACAGATGTAACAACACCAATGACATCAACAATAGCATTGTTCTCTGAATCTTCAATTTTATCAATAGATGAGAAGCTAAACCGCTGGGCAGGAATAGAACTGTTCTCATCAAGACAAAGTTCAATAGTCGACTGAAATTCCAAGAAAATCTCCCACTCATTATTCAGATGGTTGTAGTCCTTCTTTGTGGGTTTCAAGTTTCCTCTAGATACCACATAGACCTTACCAACTTCCACAACTTCATAGAAGCGATCAACAAGAGTATTGAAACATGTAGCCCGAATCTCACCACCATCAGAATCAAGCAGGTCAAAAGAGAACACTTTGCCATCACCTTTTGCATTATGGTACCGGCGGATCTCTCCTTTGGCAGTTACTCGACCCTTGATAGCCCAGCGGCCCTGATAAGGATTTAGAGCAGAAATGGGGATTATACTAGCAGGAGCATCGTTTTTCATGATTGTGCCATGGTTTCTGTACTTGGGTGCAGGGCGATAGGGTGGCTGTACTGTTGGTTGGAAGACCTGTGCATTGTCACTTGGCCTAGGGACCATGTTCAAAGAGTTCCCTGCCATCGATCTCTGGATTACTTGAGCATTGTCAGAGGGCCTTGCCACTTTGTTCAAAGCACTCCCTGCCATTGAACCATTTTGAGGTGCTCCGTTAAACTGGTCTGCTCTCATGGAATTAGAATCTCCAGAATCAGGAGGTAGTGCTGGATTTCCAATAATCTCACACTCTGCAGCAAGAACCTCCATGTTCAGAATAACAATAGCCCTGTGATAACAATCAGCTTATCAGAAGGGCAAATAGAAACCTGAAAATCCGTGCATAACCACAGCACAAGAAGTAAAGTACAATGATCAAATCCCATCACATGATACGATCAACAAACTAGAACCTAACTGACTCCAAACATGACAGCTGCCTAGCAAATATTCAATTCATAACAAAACGAAGGCATTAAAACTGCATACAGGAATGCCTCACCATTCAAATGGACATAAGTGGTCACTGACCATTAGTCGCAAGGCCAGATACCGGAGCACAGAGATGCTAGCTTTTTTATCATCAAGAAATTTCTAATTGATTCATGGCTGGTGAGCGCCAATTTGGTTAGAAACATAACCATTATCCCAAATTTCTGCGGCTGATAAGTCGGCTGATTTGTTGTGAGAGAAAAACACTGTTGGCTGATAACACATCAGCTGGACAGCTAGATACCAAACCATAGACATGCTACGATTTCATCATGAAGAAGAAAATTCTGGTCCATTCATGGCTGGTGAGCACCAACTTCAACATAATTACTATGATGGTTTAGTCTATTCTGACAAAAATTAAGAGGCAAGTATAGACTCAATTCAATCAGCAACACCGTTCATGAGGACCAATTAAAATGATGGAGCAAACAGATCCACTGAACCAAACATTAACGGAATGCATGAATACATACGCTGGCAATTCGAACTGCAGGCCAAGCCATAAGCCAACAGCCAATCAAACGGAATGCAACTCTCACGAACCAACCAGATGGAACTAACAAGCACATAATCGCAGGTACCGAACAAATTGGACCCAATTTCTTATGCCTCGCAGGCCTGAGGGGAGATATACTTTCTGTTCCGGTTGGAGCCGACGTCGTTAACGATGTAGTCGAGGAGCTGCACGACCGAGCCGCGGCGGACGACGCCGGAGCGCGCGAGGTCGCAGAGCTGCGAGGCGAAGAGCGCGTGCCCCGTGGCGACGCCATCGGAGATGATGGCGCGGAACCTGAGCCTGGAGCCCCCAGTGACCGCGATGCTCCGGAGGTCGACGACCTGCACCACCGGCTTGAGGTTGGTGTCCCCCGCCATCGCCGCCGCCACGGCGTTGGGGGTCAGCTTCGCCCTCGCCATCGCAGACTCGGAGCGACGGCGACCCTACCCACCACCTCCTCCTCCTCCTCCTCCCGGCCTCGATCTGTGGGAGCGGTTGGACGACAAGCGTGCGGGACGAAGGCGAGGAGGAAATTGATTGATTCGAGCGTTCGAGTGTTCGAGGTGGGGGCTGAAATGAGGGGAGGGGCAATGGTACGGGACACGGGGAGAGGCGGTTCGATGGCGTCGCGCCTTCTTCCGGAAGAAGGAAAAAAAAGTCACGCTGATGGCTGATGCTTGGATAGAATAGAAGTAGCCGTCGGATCGGAAGTACGATGGGTGCATCGAACGGCCGGTATTGCGCGCTGACGTCACGGGTGCGCAGGCCGCAGCTCTTCTGGACCGAGCTACAGTAGGCAGTGGAAGGGGAAGGCTGAAGCCGGTGCGGTGAGAAGTGAACTCCGGCAACTGTATCGACTATCGACCAAAAAAAAGTTACTCCCTCCGTGTAAAGGAGAATGAGCTGCTACTACAGTATTGGTGATGTGGAAGTGGAACCTAAATCAAGTCGTGACTTTCTAAGCATCGAGCATGAGCATGCAACAAATCCTGCAAAATACACATTAGCGAACCCAAGGAACCGATCGGTTCTAGACTGTTCGGCTGATAGTTTCTACGGCTGATAAGCCATCTGAAGCTGATTTGTTATGAGAGAAAAATAATGTTTTACGGCTGATAAGTTTAAGCGAACAGCGACGAATAAACTCATCACCAAGACTGTAAGAACTTCAGGACAGAGTCGGGGTTTAGGCAGATTGGGAGAACAGTATGTTTACTGAACAAATGGAGTCACAATAATGAAGCTGTTAAAGCAGTTTTTCGGTTCTTCGGATCCACCATCTTCATCGATGCATTACACAAATCAGAAAGCGATTACCACGAGCACCAACTGTGGTGTGTCACGTGTGGAACAGTATTGGGGAGCATTGGTAGAATCGTTGGAAGGAGAAAAATATGTTTTGGTGATTATGAAATATGCATAAGCTTTATAGAGAGATTTACAGAATCTGACTAACACTAAAACTACATGTGATTTACAATAGCCATGAAGAATGGTCTCCTTTTTTCCCATTTTGCTGCAAGTTCAGCCTTAACCCCATGCTGCTGATAAAGCATAATTTACCACCAGTTTCCCATCAATTCCAAAGTTCTGCAGTGTAATGTAAGAAGATGGTTAACTGCCTTCTTTGGCTGTATGCCATACAAACAGATGTGGAATCTAAACATAAGAATTGAAATCAAGGCCAGCACTTTAGGTGGCCACTATTTCCAGATGAAACCTATACTAAATCAACAAATAATTAAGTTCATGTGATAGAAATCAATCTAACAGGCAGGAATGATATAATAAACATGCCAGGACTCACGGTGGTGGTTGTTTCCAGATGAAAACCTATACGAATCA